TTTTTTTTTTTTTTTTTTTTTTTGAAATTGCTCCATCTATTGGTGGGGAGCGGCACCTGCTGGAAACCGGGTCCAACACCCCATAGATACAACCATATCCCCACAAATTGGCATAAACTGGGAAACGGGCCCATCGTCCCAGAACGAGCACGTTCAGAAACTCATCAGAAAAATTCATGAAAATAAAACTAGGAATCTATAAGAAATTTTTAGAAGAACTGCTTATACTACAGACCTTTGACCAATTGCTCATTGAACTGCTCACCTAGCTGTGCCCTATTCCTATCCTACTAGCTAGCCCCCTCACTAGTAAGACGCGTGATATCCACCCATCTACTTGCAAACTCTTTCCACTGCCTTCTTCTTCCAGCGACAAGCCAACCTCCTCCACCACATAGTTTGCCAGATGAAAGAACAGCAGCGAACGACGAGTTCACAGGGTCTCTCAACGAGCAACAACATGCGGCAGTCTTCTTCATCTCGCGACAAGCCGACCTCCTCCACCACATAGTTCGCGAGATAGAGGTTGTTACCCCAAGAGCAGCCGACGCAGAAGTCCTCAGAAACCCCTTCCTCTTTCCCACAGCCCCCTACTCTTCGTCATCTTCCGACGAGCCGACCTCCTCCACCACATAGCTCGGAAGATACAAACAGTAGACAAGACAACCTAACCCAAACCCATAGTGATTGAGAGCAGATTTCGTCTATTGGTCTTCGTTCGACGAGCCGACCTCCTCCACCACATGGTTCGAAGAAGAGGAATAGAAGTAGTCCACTCACAAAAGGTGTGATAGGTAAGGAAATTTGGAAAGCCTAAAATACCACCCACCATCCAGCTCCTTCCCACATCGCAGAGGAAGGATTAATGCCCAGGCCTTCAGTCCTCGTACTAGAACGTGCAAGATCGCATACCCCCCTACGCTAGGGTAACAGGGCAACACCAACTGCCCCAGTATCGACTGAGCTTGTTCTAACGGACAGAAAGTGTCTTCCTCCCTCGACAACTTCCTTAGCTGCACAGGCCCCCCCCCCAGGTCACAGGGTCACTGCCCCCGGCCCGACTTCAGCTACGCTGAGCAAGGTAGTTATGCCTTCCCTCCTCAACAAGTTCCCATAGTCTCAAGCTCCTCTGGTTACAGAGCGTGAATTCACTGCTCCAGCACAGACTATTGTCACCCCACCCCGCCCTTCTAAAGACCTACCCGCTAGACGTCAATCCACCTCTGCACCGTGCACCACCCTACTACAATCAACCTCCCCCTACTCACCGGATGACCTTTGAAGATTCAGAGAATTTTTGAAAATCTCAGAGCATACCAGAACCAGGCATACTTTGCAGCACATACTAAGAAAAAATCAAGGTTACAAACATGAATTTCTAAGATAGAAAATTATTGGAAATTTGAAAATTAGAAACACTTCGGAGGCCCTTCAACCCCCACGTATAGAACTTAAACTTTGAGGCCAAAATTAAGAATCTATCTAAGATGTCCAAAACAGGATTCACGATTCTATAAAATCAGAAGTTTCATAGGAAACTACTTCGAAGGGATACTTCAAAGGCAGAGTTAGGATGAATTCGAGATACCAATTAGAAAATCCATCTAAAGCATCTTGGAATTGATATGAAATTGAGAAACCAAATTAGAAAAACGATCGAAGGCAGCCAGCAGAAGAGCCATTCTTTGGGCCCTCTGGAACGTTGTACTTTCGAAATGGAAGGCGCCAGGCTGGACGGCCCAGAACTTATTGAAGGAATCAAGCTGCAAATCCAGACAGTTATCACAGTCCAATGGAATAAAGTCAAGGAAAAAATCAAGTTCCTAACAAATGAAAAAGAAATCCAGCATCAAATCCAACTTTACAGTGGCGCATTGCTAGGGGGGCCTCAAGGAGGAAAGATTGGAAGGATTAGAGAAAGTGGGGTCAATGAAGTGTTAAGAGGAGGACAAAAGATGGAACTGCAAAAGGACTACAAACTGGTTTTTTAGGATTGGATGAACATTGATCCATCAATCCTCCTTCGCCCTTTATCAGAATTCCCAGACCCCTTCCCCCCCTCCTCTTTAACTCTGGTCCCCATAAGTTGGTATGGTTGTGATTGAGTTATGGCTTGGCATTCCGAGTGAGCAGTCAAGTTCTCTGGTAGAGTTTTGAAGACTGATTCAAAGGAGTTGCTGCGGATAGAAGTAGATCTGTGAATCTAAGCCACAGGTCATATGGCCAACGGCCAAAGGAATAGTGAAACAGTACAATAAGGTAACTGAGGTAGCATGGAAAGGGAGAAAAAGAGTAGAAATTACAAACTGGTCTTCCATAACTAGTCTGTAGTGGATATATGGAGGTTTGAACAGGGCTAGATGTAATAGTTATTTCTAGCGCTCGACTAGGGGTGAAGAGGCTCAAAATAAACCCCCATCAGACACTTCTACATCAGTATGTTCAACTTTTTGAGGGACGCTGAGCCCGGTTCTCAGCAAGTGTTCCGATTTTGTCACCCCGGGTAGACTGTGAGGACCCCGGCCTCAACATATTCATAAGTAATATAAGCCTTGGTGTTGCATACCGTATAGGTGCAGACCAGAACAAGAACCGACCTTTCAATACAAAGTATAAGATAGCACAGCGGAAGACTTAGATACCAGTGATCCGAACAATTAATGTTGTAATGCAGCCCTGAACATACATCATCATCATCGTTTCATAGTGTGAATGGGTCTGGCGCTTCACACAGGAAGACAGCGCCAGCCCAGA